CATAGGGAGGATGGCCTTGGCCTGGACATCAGTGTTATGTAAGGTTCAAAATATCTCTGCACTGTAGGGCAACAGAGCTCCTTTTCTTTCTTTTCTTGTCTTGTCTTGTCTTGTCTTGTCTTTCTTTCTTTCTTTCTTTCTTTCTTTCTTTCTTTCTTTCTTTCTTTTCTTTCTTTCTTTCTTTCTTTCTTTCTTTCTTTCTTTCTTTCTTTCTTTCTTTCTGTGCTTTCCTGGCTTCCCAGCCAAATCTCTAATGATCTTTCTTTCTTTCTTTCTTTCTTTCTTTCTTTCTTTCTTTCTTTCTGTGCTTTCCTGGCTGGCCAAATCTCTAATGATAAACATACTCTATTTATACATGAGAATATCCTATCAGATTATAGTTAAGAATTCTGGGAGTCATTCCATCTCTTATAGCTAAATTTGAGCCTCTTTTATGATCACTGTTTTTTTTTATACTTTAAGTCCTGGGGTACATGTGCAGAACATACAGTTTTGTTACATAGGTATACACGTGCCATGGTGGTTTTCTGCACCCATCAACCTGTCACCTACATTAGGTATTTCTCCTAATATTGTCCTTCCCCTAGCCCCCCACCTCCCAACAGGCCCCAGTGTGTGATGTTCCCTCCCTGTGTCCATGGATCACTTTTTTTTTTTTTTTAAAGTCTCAGTTAGATTTTTGGAATGTGATTTATTTTCCTGGTATCCTAGGACTTGCAAGTTATCTGGTCACTTTAACCCTCACATTTTGATGATAGTCACATATTTGTAAACACAACACACACACACACATATACACACATACATACATACACACATATACACACACGACATATTTATCAGGCATTTCTGAGCAACTAATCATGCAGGACTCTCAAACACTAACCTACAGCTTTTCCCATTTATCTACTTGTGTAGAAACTGAGCATGGGGACTGAGAAGGCAACAGCAGGAGCATTCTAACTCTCACTGCCTTTGGCTAGGTCCCTCCCTCACTGCAGCTCAGCATAGTCCTGAGCTCTTATCTATATCCACACACAGTTTCTGATGCTGCCCAGTTATCACCAACCCAAGTCTAAAGAAAAAAAAATGGGTTTGCCCATCTCTGTTGATTAAAAAAATAATAAATAAATAAAATAAGCCCCTAACCTCCCAAAAAACATGACCAAACAAGCACGAAGAAGAAGAAAAAACAATAGGTACATGAAGAGACTGGTGACACTGGGGTCTGAATGAGGCTTGAGTATAGAAAAGAGCTCTAGCAGCATAGTGGTTTAGAGGAGATGTTTGTTTCCTTCACAGATGCCTCAGCCTCAATAAGCTCAGGGTTGCAGGAATTTACTTTCAGAACAAACTCCTGTGGGGCTAGAATTATCGATGGCTAAAAGAAGCCTGGAGGAGGGAAAAATCATTAAGCATCTTCACCCTTAGTAACACAAAACAAAGGGGCCTGGTTTCCCATAATTCCTCATGGTGGGTTATCTTGTTAATGAAAGCGGTCTGACGAAATCATTGCTTCTTCCATTTAAGCTTTGCTTGCTCACTTGCCAAGCCTCAGTTTTAACCTTCCCCAGAGAAATACACATTTTTTTTTTATTCAGGAAACATACTATGTTATAGTTTCAGTACTAAATAATCAAAGTACTGAAGATAGCATGCGTAGGTAAGAAAAAGTCATTAGCTTTATGTTGCTGTTGTTTCAGAATTTAAAAATGATCACCAAGTCAAGGCCTTCTCAGTTTCAGCGCTAGAGGTGGAATGTTAGCATATAATCAGATGTTTTTCAAAATTTCTAGACATAGGATTCAAAGCCCTGCACTTAAAATAGTCTCATTTGAATTAACTCTTTATATAATTTGAAAGCACATTCTGAACTACTTTAGAGTATTGTTTTATTTCTATGTTCTTAGTTCATAGAATGCATTAGGCAATGCAATTTAATTTAAAAACCCCAAGAATTTTTTAGAATTTTAATCATGAAAATAAATGAAGACAACTTTATTTACTCAAGGTCTCAAAAGGTCAAAGAAACCAGGAAAGTAAAGCTATATTTCAGAGGAAAATGGGATATTTATGAGTTTTCTAAGTTGACAGACTCAAGTTTTAACCTTCAAGGCCCATGATGTAGGAAAGTGTGGCGATAACTGGCTGATTCTGGCTTTCTACTCCTTTTTCCCATTGACGATCCCGCCTGCTTAATTAACATTCACAAGTATCTCTGGTTCTGCTTTAGGCACAGTGGCTCCCGAGGTCTGTCACGCAATAGGATGTCTGTGCTCCAAGTTGCCAGGGAGAGAGATCACTCTTTAGAAGGAGCCCCAGCCCTGGCTCAAACTCACCTGCAAACTTGAGAAATGAGGCAGAGGCACACTATGAAAACAACAGTTAGTAGCTAAATGACGAGAACACATGGACACATAGAGGGAAACAATGCACACTGGGGCCTATCAAAGGGTGGAGGGTGAGAGAAGGAGAGGATCAGGAAAAATGATTAATGGATACTAAGCTTAATACCTGAGTGATGAGATCACCTATACAACAAACCCCCTTGATACTCATTTATCTATGAAACAAACCTGCACATCCTGTACATTTACCCCTGAAGTGAAAATAAAAGTAAAAAAAAAAAGAAAGCAACCGTTTGCACACTTGTTATGGTCTATTCTCTCATTCTTTACAATGACACTAGAAAATAGCCACAGGCTTCCTGCAAGGCAGCCACAGAATTTATGACTTGTGATATCTAAGTCATTCCTGGCTAATGCAAAATCTAATACAAAATCTAGTAGAATCATTTGCTTACATCTATTTCTGTTCTGAAAAAATAAATTCAGAAAATAATGGAAGCAGAATAATTTAAAATCTGGCTAATTTAGAATCCTAAGCAGCCCTTTTCCCATCAGTGGTTTACAAGCCTTGTTAACAATTTTCCTATTTTAAAATTAAAAATAAAGTAAGTTATTTGTGGTAAAGAATATTCATTAAAGAATTTATTAGATAATATCATGGAAAATATTCAGTGAAGTGAAGGGCCTACTTTACCTAACAATAATCTAATTTATATAATTTTTCATACTAATAGCATCTAACAACAGTACAATGTTTGACTCTTTAGGTTAAATACATGTCGTAATTAGCCAGAAAGATTTAAGAAAATATTGGATGTGGCCGGGCGCGGTGGCTCAAGCCTGTAATCCCAGCACTTTGGGAGACCGAGATGGGAGGATCACGACGTCAGGAGATCGAGACCATCCTGGCTAACCCGGTGAAACCCTGTCTCTACTAAAAATACAAAAAACTAGCCGGGCGAGGTGGCGGGCGCCTGTAGTCCCAGCTGCTCTGGAGGCTGAGGCAGGAGAATGGCGTAAACCTGGGAGGCGGGGCTTGCAGTGAGCTGAGATCCGGCCGCTGCACTCCAGCCTGGGCGACAGAGAGAGATTCCATCTCAAAAAAAAAAAAGAGAAAATATTGGATGTTTCTTTGTTTAAATTAGGCATCTTACAGTTTTCAGAATCCTGCATAGAACTTATGAAATTACAAATGCTAAAGCAAACCCAAAGAAGCAGGAATTAATCTTCATTAAATTTGACTGTTTCTTTCTAAAAGTCCTTTATACTTAAATGTCTTAAGACAAACATAGATTTTATTTTACTAATTTTAATTATATAGACAATAAATGAATATTCTTACTGATTACTTTTTCTGACTGTCTAATCTTTCTGATCTATCCTGGATGGCCATAACACTTATCTCTAAACTTTGGGCTTTTAATATAGGAAAGAAAGGCAATAATCCATTTTTGATGGTATCTCATATGATAAACAAATAAAATGCTTAAAAATGAGCAGGTAATGGGGGGCGGGGGGGTGGAGCAAGATGGCCGAATAGGAACAGCTCCAGTCTCCAACTCCCAGACCGGTGATTTCTGCATTTTCAACTGAGGTACTGGGTTCATCTCACTAGGGAGTGCCGGATAATCGGTGCTGGTCAGCTGCTGCAGCCCGACCAGCGAGAGCTCAAGCAGGGCCAGGCATCGCCTCACCTGGGAAGCGCAAGGGGGAAGGGAATCCCTTTTCCTAGCCAGGGGAACTGAGACACACAACACCTGGAAAATCGGGTAACTCCCACCCCAATACTGCGCTTTAAGCAAACGGGCACACCAGGAGATTGTATCCCACACCTGGCCGGGAGGGTCCCACGCCCACGGAGCCTCCCTCATTGCTAGCACAACAGTCTGCGATCTAACCGCAAGGCAGCAGCCAGGCTGGGGGAGGGGCGCCCACCATTGCTGAGGCTTAAGTAGGTAAACAAAGCCGCTGGGAAGCTCGAACGGGGTGGAGCTCACAGCAGCTCAAGGAAACCTGCCTGTCTCTGTAGACTCCACCTCTGGGGACAGGGCACAACTAAACAACAACAAAAGCAGCAGAAACCTCTGCAGACGCAAACGCCTCTGTCTGACAGCTTTGAAGAGAGCAGTGGATCTCCCAACATGGAGGTTGAGATCTGAGAAGGGACAGACTGCCTGTTCAAGTGGGTCCCTGACCCCTGAGTAGCCTAACTGGGAGACATCCCCCACTAGGGGCAGTCTGACACCCCACACCTCACAGGGTGGAGTACACCCCTGAGAGGAAGCTTCCAAAGCAAGAATCAGACAGGTACACTCGCGGTTCAGCAATATTCTATCTTCTGCAGCCTCTGATGGGTGCTGACGAGTTGATGGGTGCAGCACACCGACATGGCACAAGTATACATATGTAACAAACCTGCACGTTATGCACATGTACCCTAGAACTTAAAGTATAATAATAATAATAAATAAAAATTTAAAAAAATGAGCAGGTAAAGCAATTTATCTTGAACCAACAAGCATCGAAGCAATAATGAGACTGCCTCAGCCTACCTGACTTCTGAGTCAGGATTTATAAGCCTTGTTACTGAGACACAATCCTGGGCCTTTCAATGCTATAACCTTTCTTGAAGCTCCTCCCTACCACCTTTAGCCATGAGGAAGCATGGAATGGGCCAGATCCCTGGATGCAAGCCAGGTCTGGAACCTGTAAGAAAAGAAAATGTAGGCCCTGCAACTGGCTCTGAGGGAGCAGGAGAAGATCAACCCCATACTCTGAATCTAAGAGAAGACTGGTGTCCACACTCTGAATGGGAAGAATGATGGGATTACCCATAGGGTTTGTTTTAGGGAGAAACCCGTTCTCCAAACTCTTGACCTTGAGAGACCTGGTCCTTATTCCTTGGACTTTGGCAATGTCTGACCTTCACATTCAAGTTCTGAGGAAGGGCCACTGCCTTCATACTGTGCATCTGTAGCAAATTCCCCCTGAAAACCCAGATCTGTATCTTAATTGGTTAAAAAAATTGTGTTATCTCAAGGACTGTTCTTCTCTGAGTAGCCAAGCTCAGCTTGGTTCAAGCTACAAGCAGCTGAGCTAGCTTTTTGTCTATTCATTATTCTTTTACTTGAGTGATCAAGTATGTTCTCTCCAAACCTAGAATCCTGTCTTCCTAGCTATGTATTTTGTCCCAGGAAGTCTTAATCTGGGGTCCACAGAACACTAGGGGGCTGGTGAAGTTTATAGAAAAAAATCTGTCTTTTTACATACACGTAACTGAAATTTAGCATTTTCTTCTACTTTGAATGCAAAGAACAAACTAGAGTGATATCATCAGTAGCTATTACATAGTTATAAAGAGAAACCACAGATATTTTCATACTACACCATAGTCATTGCAGATATTTTTGTTTTTGTTTGAGATGGAGTTTTGCTTTTGCTTCCCAGGCTGGAGCGCAGTGGCATGATTTTGGCTCACTGCAACCTCCCCTTCCTGCGTTTGAGAGATTCTCCTGCCTCAGCCTCCCAAGTAGCTGGGATTACAGGCGCCCGCCACCATGCCCATCTAATTTTTGTGTTTTTAGTAGAGACGGGGTTTCACCATGTTGGCCAGGGTGGTCTCGATCTCCTGACCTCAGATGATCTGCCCTCCTTGGCCTCCCAAAGTGCTGGAATTATAGGTGTGAGCCACTGTGCCCGGCCCATTTCAGATATTTTTAATTAACATTCATCTGCATCACTATTTGGATCTTAAGGTAGCTGTAGACCCAATCCTAGATCTAATGCTTTCATAAAGAAGCAAATATAATAAATACTATACCACAAATGTGAAGTTTGGATGTTTGATAATGGTATTTCAGTATAATTAAACTTAACAATCCAATGTATATTATTTTATGCAAGAAAACATGTTTTTTTAGCACTTACAGTCTGCCAAACTAGCCTGTGACACAAAACAAGTTTAGGAATTCCTGGTTATGTCTGTATTAGCCAATGGTTAGAATATAGGCCCAGAAAGATACCCTTGGTTAATAGCTAAAAGAAAATGGAGTAGAAATTCAGTGGCCTGGAATAATAACAATCTGGGCAGTCATTAAGTCAGGTGAAGATTTCTGCAATCATGGGAGAAAAGCAAGGGAGATATTCTTAATTGCCACAAGTGGTTCTTTTTGTTTTTATTTTTTTAAATCACAAACATAAGAAAATATAATAAATAACAAGGTCAGGTTATAGAAGAGAGAAACACTCTTAGTAAACTTGGAATATAGAATCCCCAAAGGCACTTGACTTGGGAGACAGAAGCCATACTGCTAAGTAAAAAAGACCAAGAACCTCTAGGGCCTGAAGATGTAGGAAACTGTAGGAAGAGAAATTCCCAGATCTGGCAGGGCAAGGGGAGTCATAGGTGAAAGAAATGACAGAAATGCATGGAGAGGGAGGCAGAGGTGGGTGGATCACGAGGTCAAGAGATCAAGACCATCCTGGCCAACATGGTGAAATCCCGTCTCTACTAAGAATACAAAAATCAGCTGAGTGTGGTGGTGCACACTTGTAGTCCCAGCTACTCGGGAGGCTGAGGCAGGAGAATCGTTTGAACCCAGGAGGCAGAGGTTGCAGTGAGCTGACATCATGCCATTGCACTCCAGTCTGGCAACAGAGTGAGACTCTGTCTCAAAAAAAAAAAAAAAAAAAAAAGAAAGAAAAGAAATGGATGGAGAACAAGCCAGAAGGAGGAACTGGGCTGAGGCAATGAGATTATGGTGATGTAGGGGACTTTTCTAGAATTAACAATGCTGGAATTTGTGGAACTCTATTTCTGTTATTCCCCCAATCATTACTTCTGTCACACTGATAGTTATATAACTTCTGTGACTTTATTCCTTGATTCTAAAATATGAGGATAATGACAATGGTATTATAAGGGCAGATTAAGTGATATACCATAGGCAATATTCTTCAGGCACATGGATCGAATTGAAACACTGTAAATCTCAACTTCCAGTTTCAGCTCTACCAGGTAAAAAGCTAGCAAGTCATCCCAATGGGGACATTAAAAAGAAAAAAGAAAGACACCAGAGGAATAATATACCCTGACTCCTAGCCTAATTAATATATCGATTCACTTTTTTCCCTGATGACAAATTTTGGTTTTTAATAATTTTAGGAGTTTAGGCTTCTCAGCTCCCTTCCCAGTGAGAAGTATAAGCAGGACAGACAGGCAAGCAAGAAGAGAGCCCCAGGCCATACTCACAAAGTAGGCAATGTCCCCTGTGGTCATAGAGAAATGAAAAGAGAGAGGATTCCCTGGAAGCATTGGATGTAATCTTTTCTGTCTGTCCTCTCTAGGGAATCACCCCAAGGTATTGTACTTTGGGATTAAGGTTTTAGTCCCACTGTAGACTACTTGCTATTCTGTTCAGTTTCTAGAAGGAACTATGTATGGTTTTTGTGTCCCTAGAGGAACTAAGGTGCAGAAGTTTTGTTTACAATGCACTCCCTAAGAGAGCTAGAACTGGGTGAGATTCTGTTTTAACAGCTTTATTTTCTTTTTCTTGGCCCTGTTTTTGTCACTGTCACCACCTTTAAGGTAAATATCGAATGTGCTTTGGCTGAAACTTTTTTTCCTATTTTGAGATTTGCTCCTTTATATGAGGCTTTCTTGGAAAAGGAGAATGGGAGAGATGGATATCATTCTGGAAGATGATGAAGAAGGTAAAAAAGGGGACAAATGGAAATTTGTGTTGCAGACAGATGAGGAGCCAACAAAAAAGGGCCTCAAGATCCAGCACACATTATCACAAACTTGCTATCCATCCATCACTACTGACCCTCTCCGGACCTGACTCCACCCCTGAGGGACACAGGTCAGCCTTGACCAATGACTTTTAAGTACCATGGAGAACAGGGGGCCAGAACTTCGGCAGTAAAGAATAAAAGGCCACACAGAGAGGCAGCAGCACATATCGGCTTCTGACACAGCTGCAATCACCAGCAAGCTCTCAGGCCTGGCATCATGGTGCATTTTACTGCTGAGGAGAAGGCTGCCGTCACTAGCCTGTGGAGCAAGATGAATGTGGAAGAGGCTGGAGGTGAAGCCTTGGGCAGGTAAGCATTGGTTCTTAATGCATGGGAACGAAGGGTGAATATTACCCTAGCAAGTTGATTGGGAAAGTCCTCAAGATTTTTTGCGTCTCTAATTTTGTATCTGATATGGTGTCATTTCATAGGCTCCTCGTTGTTTACCCCTGGACCCAGAGATTTTTTGACAGCTTTGGAAACCTGTCATCTCCCTCTGCCATCCTGGGCAACCCCAAGGTCAAGGCCCATGGCAAGAAGGTGCTGACTTCCTTTGGAGATGCTATTAAAAACATGGACAACCTCAAGACTGCCTTTGCTAAGCTGAGTGAGCTGCACTGTGACAAGCTGCATGTGGATCCTGAGAACTTCAAGGTGAGTTCAGGTGTGGGTGATATGATTTTTTGGCTTTATAGTTTGACATTAATTGAAGCTTAGGATCTTATTGGAAACATCAACAAAGATCTCAGAAATCATGGGTCGAGTTTGATGTTAGAACAGCAGACTTCTAGTGAGCATAACCAAGACTAACCTGATTGAGAACTAGTGACAGTAAAGGACTACTAACAGCCTGAATTGGCTCAACTTTTCAGGAAATCTTGCCAGAACTTGATGTGTTTATCCCGGAGAATTGTATTATAGAATTGTAGACTTGTAAAAGAAGAATGAAATTTGGCTTTTGGTAGATGAAAGTCCATTTCAAGGAAATAGAAATGCCTTATTTTATGCGGGTCATGGTAATTGAGGTTTAGAAAGAGATTTTTGCAAAAAAAATAAAAGATTTTCTCAAAGAAAAATAAGACACATTTTCTAAAGGATATTAAATTTCCCATCAGTATTGTAACCAAGTGAAGGCTTGTTTCTGAATTTGTTAGGGATTTTAAACTCCCGCTGAGAACTCTTGCTGCACTCCCATTCTACATTTACAGAAATTAGACAACTGCTTAAAGAAAAATAGAGAGAGAGGGAGCCCAATAATACTGGTAAAATGGGAAGAGAGAGTGAGGATGCAGGTAGGTAGAATGTTGAATGTAGGGCTCATAAAATAAAATTGAACCTAAGCTCATCTGAATTTTCTGGGTAGGCACAAACCTTGGAACAGTTTGAGGTCAGGGTTGTCACGGAATGTAGGTATAAAGCCGTTTTTGTTTGTTTGTTTGTTTTTTCAGCAAGTTGTTTTCGGAAACTTCTACTCAACATGCCTATGTGTTATTTTGTCTTTTGCCTAACAGCTCCTGGGTAACGTGATGGTGATTATTCTGGCTACTCACTTTGGCAAGGAGTTCACCCCTGAAGTGCAGGCTGCCTGGCAGAAGCTGGTGTCTGCTGTCGCCATTGCCCTGGCCCATAAGTACCACTGAGTTCTCTTCCAGTTTGCCAGTGTTCCTATGACCCTGACACCCTCCTTCTGCACGTGGGGACTGGGCTTGGCCTTGAGAGAAAGTCTTCTGTTTAATAAAGCACATTTTCTTCAGTAATCAAAAATTGCAATTTTATATACTCCATCTTTTACTCTTGTGTTAAAGGAAAAAGTGTTCATGGGCTAAGGGATGGAAAGAAGCATAGGAAGAACCAAGAGCTTCCTTAAGAAATATATGGGGGCTTGTAAAATTAATGCAGATGTTATGGGAGCATTCCAGGATTCCATGGAGGATGATATAATGGAGAAAAATCTTTATAAGTGTGGGAAAATGGTTAGTTAAGTAGACAGAGACTCCTAGGCAGTTTTTACTGCACAGGGGAAAGA